CCCAGCACAAGGGAAAGCATGAGAGGGCCAAAGGTGATCGAGACTTTACCTTAAGAATGGTCAAGGAAGTAAATGAGGTCTTTGGCGTCATTATTCCTATATCGTCACGTGAGTACTTTCCTCTTTTATTTTAAATTAATTTTGGTTTATCGAGATCAGTTTTTTCAAGGTCCGTGCACCTGCACTTCAGCTAAGACTGACTTTTAATATTCTACACTTAGCAGTGGCGTAATATCTACTAGCTTTAGCTGTTATATCACAGCGTGGGACAATAACAACAGAGCTAGGCTCCAAACTAAGTGAAAGCCCGGATATCGAATTAGAATTTAGAGGTTGATTTTTGAGAAGGGATGAAAAACGGAGAACCCGGAGAAAACCCTCGAAGCACAGGAGAGAACCAACAAACAACTCTACTCACATACGACATCGGGATCGGCAGGACTCGAACTCGGGCCACATTGGTGAGAGGCGGCGCATTAGCAGCGCACGCGACCGGTGCGAATATCGCCATTTCCACAGGAATCCCGCATGAATTAATGAAATCTGGTGCTGGGATGCAAAACAATAAATTGCATTTTCATTAAAGAAAAACTATGAAATCAATAGAAGTGAAAAGATCTATCTTTCACAAAAAAGGGAAAGGGAAAAAAGAATGTACGATTTTCAAACCTATTGGGGGTGGTTTTTCCCCCCTCGTCCCCCTTTCCCCCACATCTAACCCTCGCTAAGCCCATGAGACTTTGTCTGCTGGAGTTTTGAGCACGTAAAAGGTGATAATATCAATTAGTTAATTTTTAATTACTTAWTATCATAAGTAATTAAACTAATTAATTTTATTTAACCTAGATGACGAYGGGTGAGTGGGGAGTTGCATGCGATAATGAATAAAAACATTAAGGCTATTTTGAAATGCTATTCTCTAGCAATTTGCAACAGCTGTAGAAARTCCCATAACGAAAAGCTGAAGCAAGAGTGGAAATGGCTACTCGAGGAACAAACTACATAAAACAACCAAGACAAACCGCCGGCTCAGATTCTTTTACCAAGGTATGCTCGGTAAATGTAACTCACCAGCATGTTCCATTCTGCAGATTAACCTTTGATTTTTTTTGGTCCAAGACTGAACGTATAAAACTTAACGACTAGGCCCGCAGCCTGAATGGTCTACGAGTCGATGGCCCATTAGGCAGAAGGCTATTGACTCGTAAACCATAAGGGTTGCGGGTCTAATTGTTTTAATGTAAACCTACTAATCGGTCAAATAAATGGATATTTTTAAAAAAAGGTCGAAATAGCGGGTTATTCGCAATGATCAAAACCGGCAGTTTTTCACTCAACTAGTGGAAGTTTCGATTCTCTTTCATTCGTACTTCACGTTTAATATTAAACGTTTGTCTCTGTGTTGGGTTTTCAGGAAATACAAACAAAGCGCAATGCAAGCAATGGCAGAATTTCCTCCAGGCACTCCTGTAGTTTCAAGTCAGTTAGCGGACCCTAAGTGGACACCTGGACATTGGCGTGCACAGGAATATGAAGACAACTCAGATGAAGAGCCTGACCAGCAAAATACACTTCAAGTATACAATGACGCAATGGCTCATATCGCTGCTTTATCTGATCTGAAGGCGATTGAACCACTTACATTCAGGCTTAAATCCGAATGGGAAGTGGCTACAAAAGAGAAAAGATGTTGTGTGAAGAAATGGTCAATGAGACATGTCAGGCCATATGTAAAGTCATCGCCCCAAATGCTAGTGAACAACTCCTCACATCGTTCAAACGATCATTGAGCACAGACAGTGAAATCGAGTTACTCACTACTGCGTATAAGCATGCGCCAACGAAAAATCTCAAAACGCAGATTTTGAGCATTTACGCATACGAATATTCATCTGATGACCTGAAGAACATTCACTCTTCATTCGAGAAACTGAGTGATCGTCAGATTAAGAAGGCCAGAGCACATGCAAAAGCTGTTGGTGTTGGCATGGCAGTTGAGAAAAAGACCTCCCACAGAGTACGAATCGATGTAACGAAGCTCAGCCACTTTCTGTCATGTATAAACCAGCCTTATTTCTATCAGGATGTGGCGTATGGCATCAGAAGGCTTAAACTAGAATCTGGTGAGCAGCTGGTGATGCCGAATGTCGTGCGAAGAGTAGGCAGATCAACTATGATTGAGCTTTATCTCAAACAGTGCAGAGAGGAAGAATTTCAACCTCTRGGAACCTCCACGCTGTACAGAATATTAAAAGTTCGCGAAGCCTCACAAAGAAAGTCTCTCCAAGGCCTAGACAACATCGCCGCTAGTGGTGCTGATAGTTTTGAGACGATGCACAAAGTCATTGAAATATTGGAGAATATCGGCGCAAAGCACGACTGGTGCGATAACGTCCAAAAGAACCTAAAGTCAGGAAAGCGTTATCTTARGACGGAATACAGAGTACACTGTAGGGAAGACACGAGCTCTTGCGCTGACCACTGCCGACAACATGCCCTCAGTGACATCAAATGCTCGAAGTTAAAGAAGTCGTGCGATCATGAACACTGTGTGACTTGTGACAGTTGCGAAGCTTTGAAGACTACATTGCTTTCCATTTTGACGCAAATTCAATCATCGGAATTGGATTTTTACAGTGAAGACCAGCAACAAGACCTTCTACATGATGCCCGTCAAGCAAGAGATATGATTCTACAATGGAAGGCACATATATTGAGAGCCGAGAACCAAGATGTGGCTAAGAAAGATGTGTTGCAAGACCACATGAACTTTGGACAGCATAATACCACGGCCGTAAAAAAAAAAAAACAGGAAAATTTATATGACCATCTACGCAGGGAGTGGGCGTTCAAGTTTTCAACTCTATCCGACAAAGTTGAGAAAAAGCAAGCCTTCAACGAAACTATTATGTCCGATGATAATTCCTTGGAGAACGTTGGGTGGGCTTTGCAAAAGCCCAGGAGTAGTAAGAAGTTCTCTGATAAAGTAAAAGCGTATCTAACAGCAAAGTTTGATGCAGGTGTTACAGGAAGAAAAGCCGATCCCGCCGAAGTCTCAAAAGAAATGAGAAAAGTCAGAAACGATGAGGGATTAAGAAAGTTTACCAGAGAAGAATGGCTAACCAAGGTGCAAGCCAAGTCATTCTTTTCTCGGTTATCTGCATCAAGAAGGAAGCAGCAAGCGATGCAAGAAGACAGTGACGATGATTTGCTAGAAGAGGAGCTAAAATATCAAGAAGAGGAAATTCGAGATGAACAAATGAAAGATGTGCTGAGTCAGCTGGGCGTGGAACACCCTGTTACCTATGACGGTTACGACATTTGTGCTTRCGTCAAATCAAACTCGTTATCAAAATTCAACGTTAAAACTTTGAAAAGTATCTGTGAGCATTTTGAGCTGGCTTACAAGTCCAGAGATACAAAAGCTACTCTGCTTAGCAAAATTAGTGACATGGCGAAGGATTGCAGCTGTTCAAGATGAAGTAATAAACGTTAAGCCGTCATTATTCATCGCTGTCGGGGAGGGGGTAGGAT